TAATGCTTATATAAGCTTGAGGAGGGAGGGGCCTAGTGAATTTATTCAGTTTCAGGGATTTCCTGAAGTTTTTGAGTTGTTCACTTCCTGAATCTTAAGGAGATTTCTCTGCCAGATGAAACATTTCATCAGGGAGAGAATTGATGTAAATGAGGTAATTGAGAATAAAAAGCTGGGAAGACACTGAGGAAAACGAGTCTCCTGAGAAAACACTGTCGTGGGGTATCTTATTCACTTCGAGGGAAATTCATTCTGGAATTAGACATTTGTTTAAATGTTTTGCTCACAGGAAAATGTATCAACTGAGGTGTTTGTGCCATGTTCCCAGGACTGTCTCTCCACCCTCCAAGACCCACCCTCCTTTCTGACAGGAGGCTTGCTTAGCTTCTAGTCTCTACACTGTGGGGTTCCCCTGCTGCACTCACAGGGCTGTGAGGCATGCAGCAGAGGTCTCTAGGAGTGGCTTTATAAGCAAATACTCTCTCTTCTGTTTTTCACAGTTGAAGATTAAAGAAAACAAGAAGAGGGGGTGGGGGTGGGGTGACCACTGCAGGGGACAGTGTGCAGATCATGACCTGTCTGGAATTTTTACAACTGGGAGGAACCGGCCTGTCTGAAAATGCTCTGCGAACCTCCATGTTCATTCTAGAACCAAACCTCATGTGGTTTAGTGCAGTGACAGCGCCAGCCCATCCAGCCTTGGAAACCTACCTTCTGTACTTCCTGACCTGATCCCCACCCTCTGGGGTAGAGGCCTTTCTCTCTTGCATAAGGGACATGGGGAACTTGAGAACCTGTTCCCAGGCAGTAGAGTCTTTATGGCCTGTAACCCAGTGGTTTTGTCAGTCCCAGTGATTTATGGAAATTGATGCTGTCGTCTGATAGGAACTGTGGGGAAGAAACTGTTCCAGACACTGGCTCTTTATTTTCCATGAGTGAGGGAGAGTTGTTTATGAGTAGTCTGTGTTTTGAACTCTTTGTTCCACAGCTCGATGACAACCACGGTGCACTGAGTCACCCACAGACCTCAGAGACTGAGCCCTGAGGCCTGTGACTAATGGCTTCAGTGCAAAAAAAAAAAATGCTTAGCTTAAAATAAATAGAAAAAGGAAAAAGAAAGAAAGCAAAGAACTCGGTGGGTTTCCAGCCTTGGTGATTGACGGCTGGGATGAGTCTGGAACCCAAGCTCGGCAGCAAGAGGTGGGCTTTGAGCTCGGTAGCTAGAGCAGCCCGGCAACCATTTCCTGAGTTTGGTAGTGGCAACTTTGGAAGTATTTTTCTTCCTGTGGGTTCATTTTGCAAAGCTGTAAAGTATTAAGTGGCTGTAAATACAGCTTTCTTTGATGGATTGTCAAAGTCAGTGCTCTAGCGCCCTCTGCTGTAGGCAAATGATATCACAAATGATATCAAGTTTTTTGTTTGTTTTTTGTTTTTTGTTTTGTTTTTTTCTTTGAAGGAATTATTGGTTCTATTGCCCTGGGATGTGTGGGTGTGTGTTAGAGAGAGAGGCAGGAAGGAAAGAGATAGGGAGAGTAGGAGAGAGAGAGAGAGAGAGAGAGAGAGAAAGAGAGAGAGAGAGAGAGAGAGAGAAAGAGAGAGAGAAAGAAAGAGAGACAGAGAGAGGCAGAGAGAGAAAACAGAGACAGAGAGAGAGACAGACAGAGAGACAGCAAGAAAGACAGAGAGACAGAGAGAGTATGTCTGAGGCCCTGTTGGGAGGTAACTGGACTTTTAGAAGGTAGGCCTTCTGTGGCTGGAGGGACGGCTCAGTGGTTAGAGGCATACACTGCTCTTCTAAATGACCAGAGTTCAGTTCCCAGCAGCCATGCTGGGTGGCTCACAACCACCTGTAACTAGCTTCAGGGTTCCAACACTCTCTTCTGTCCTCAATAGGAACCCTTGCATACACAAGCACACACACGCACACACACACACACACACACACACACACACACGTGAACATGCACACCACGCACACACAAATAAAAAATAATCAACTCAAATGGATGGGCCCTTGTGGAAGGGAAGCAGTCCATTGGGAATGCTGTTGTAGATGTTGGGAACACTCCTCCCCCCTCTCTCTGTGCTTCCTGACCACAGTAAGAGGGGAGCCTCCCCCACTGTGTGTTCCTCTGAGGTGCAGTGCCGCCACAGACAGAAATCAGCAGAGTCAGGTACCCACAGCTGTGACGTCCTGGCAGGAGGAAAGTTACTGTACGGAGAGCCCTGTACCCTCCCTTTGACCATCAGAGCTGCAAAGCTGCATGCCAAGGAGCTGGTGAGAGGGAAAAGACTGAAGCCCGGTGCCAGCAAGGAGGGATGCTGGTCATATGGGGGCGGGGGGATACAGTGAGTCAGAGTGCTTCTCAGGGGACACTGGAGCTTAAACATGTTGCCAGTTGAGAATACACCTCACCTCAACAGGGACATAGTGCTGGTCTTCTATTTAAATCTAAACTTCATGCAAGGACCTCAGAAGATGGACTTAGGAGGGCCAGCAGCCCTGTTTGTTCCTATCCCCGATATAGTTACTTTAGATAAATCTTCATTCTCCGCTGTGCCCTCTGTTGGATACTGAAACAAATGGCTGGACCTGGCTTGTTAGGCTGACCAAGGGCCTGGGCTTCTGTCCTCATCCTAGGAACAAGGCCTCAGAGACTGTTGCCAAGATAAGCCTTTCCTCCTCCTAAGTTGATTTTCTGGGGCATTTGTCAGAGCACCGGGAAACCGATTGGCACAATGTGTGGGCCTACCAGCTTTCAAAGTCTGTGGCCCTGACACACACCCATGGGTGGATAGACAAATGTGGACTCGTGTGCATGCAAAACTCTTAAATTGAGGTTGTTCAGAGGCATTGCATTCTTTGGCATGTGTGTGCATG